CGAAAACGCCTTTGCTGCTTACTTTTTTGAGTACTACAAACTCATTCTCTGCCGCTGTGCGTTTGTGGATTTCCTCTTCGTACCTGAGGAAAGGAGAAGAGTGGGTGTTGGGAGAAGGGCTTGGGAGTGAGGTCGGAGAAGTCTTCCAGCACACCCTGTGTGTCCTCAGCTCAGGGTTCTGGCAGGAGGACACACTTAGAAAGCCACTGCTGTAGCGTGGCTCCCTCATAATATGTGCCTCCGAACCCCAAATCAAATAGCCCCACTTCTGCTGAAAGAAAACTCCAGCTGAAAGTGCCAGAGTAGAATCATGCCCGTCCCTGCGATGTGCTTTCACAGGTAACCTGGATCGCTAAAGAAGTATGCCCCTTCCCCACCCCTCCTCCTCTTTGGCCTGACTCCTGCCACCCTAGGTTGCTGCCATGTCCCTCAATGTCTCACTCACACTGAATTGTATCCTGAGAAGTGAAATCTTCAGACTGTAAGACCCCTCCCCAGCCCTGGCTGGCTGCACTCGCTCTGGCACCCATGGTGCTACAGTACTCCCTGCCCACATCCTCTGAGAAGTGGCCCACTCCCCACTAGGCTCCCTCAGTATCGGGATACCCCATGCTCCCTGCAGAAGCCAGCTTGGATTCATGGAATTATTCACTGTGACTGGGGAGCTACGAGTATTCCTGGGAGAATCTTTCTCTCTCTTTCTCCAGTCTCCTGTGCAGGACTGAGTGAAAACACAAGCCCTCTAAATGAACACTTAGTTGAATAAAAGGGAGGGTGGAGTCTGACTATAATTCTAACTCTAGAACTTGAGTAGGTGTACGGCCATCTCAGCGCTTGTGTTTCCTATCTGCAGAAGTTACAGGCTGTTACATATGGACAAGTCTTTGGACTCATACGGTCATTACCTCGTTAACTCCAGTCCTTCCTTCCTCAGACCCTAACATTCTGGACCAAAGACCTCTGCACATTTTTTTTAAACTTCTGTGTCAATTTGATTCCATCTCATGCCCCTAATGTGTGTCCCATTCCCATGCCCCTAATGTGTGTCCTCCTTTTGCCTGGCCCCGCCCCTTTGCCTGGCTCCGCCCCCCGGAGCCCCAGGGCAGGGCTCTGGAGCCGCTAGACTGAGCGCCCACTCACTTGTTCTTGAAGTCCTCCACCACATCCTGCATACTCTTCAGCTCTGTCTCGAGCCTGCCCCGCTCTCCTCCCAGACACTCCAGCTGGTGCCTCAGGTTAGCGATGTAGGCTTCAAACATGGGTTCCAAGTTGGTCCTGGTGGTTTTGTGCTCTTGCAGCAGGCTCCATTTGGTCTCTAGGACTTTGTTCTGCTGTTCCAGGAACCGCACCTGTCCCACAAAGGTCAGAGATTGTGAGGGCTTCCTTGCTTCAGCCTCTCACATGGTCTGCGATGTGGGATCCTCCTGCTAGTGCAGGGGTAGCTTCCAGTGCTCCCCCTGAGCTGCAAGGGGCCTGGATGCAGAGACCCACATCGATGTTGGAATAGTGGGCTCGGGAGGCAAGTACCAGGTTCAGGGGAGCTGGAGGCCATCTGATACAACAACCGTGTTGACAGGAACATCTGATACACCAACCGTGTTGACAGTAGCTTAGGAAAAGAACTTTATAACTGACAGAGCCCAAACTGATTCCTATTACATGTGTGGGAGGCTGTGGCAGACAAGTCTATCACTCCCTTTCCTTTCTGGGAAGATTTCTCAGGATCTGGAACTTGGACTCCACTGCCTGTGCCCTTTACAAATGTTAGTGAGGGCCTCCCCGGAGCCACACTAAGGGAACCTGGACACAGTCCTAGCCACGCCTCTCACCAGTTCTTGAGCAATCACCTCCCTTGCGCTGCTGGTTGAGTCCCTTGCAGTATTGAGCTGATATTTGGGTTTCTGGACTCAGCTCCATCTGATCCTGATTTCCTTCAACCTGAAGTCCTTCCCCTGGAGGAACTGGAATGCCACTTAGTCTCCAAAAATAGAAGAACAATACCTCCTTGACTTCAGAGGCAGCAATGTCTTTAACAAGTGTGTCTTTCTTTCCCTGTCTCCCACTGTGAGAGAGAGCGTGCCCTGGCCCCCAGTCCTTCCCGGGTCCACCCACTATTCCCACACCCCCTCTAGACAAACCAGAAAAAAGGAAAGCCCAGAATCTATCTCCGGTTCTCAGCCAGGCTCTCGGAAGTCACAGCCCTGCTGAGATAGCCCAGGCCAGGTGGAACGACAAGGGACTTAAGGGCTGGTGCCTGAGCAGCCCCTCGGTCGGGTCTCTCCACACAACCATCTGCTCCCCACGACGAGGTGTTCATAATGCAAGAAAGCCACAAAGGGACCCGAGAGTCCATCTGTTCCACCCCATGGTGGCTGGAGAGGAGAGGAAACTCTCCCCTAAGTGGAGTCCAAAGCGGGGCCTGAGCTGGACATCTCTGTACTTCACATTCTCCTTCCTCCCAGAGACTATGCTCTTTCCCAGCTGAGGCATGAGAGGGTGTATAATGGCGCTGTGTCCCGAGAGGCTCTCTCCCAGAGTTGGGGACCTCTAGGACTGTTGGGACTCAGGCTGAAGTCACACGTGTCGTCTCAGTGCCCTTCACTGTCTACTCCTCTTCCGAGACACACACTATCACCAAGGTGTGTCACCAGGGAAACACCTCTGCCTCGGGAGGACACTAGAGTTCGTTACCTGGGAGAAGGAAAGGGACCCAACATGCTTCCACACACCCTTAGCTTTTGTTTGTTCTTTTACCACCTTCCCTCCAAAGCGTCTGGCTGAGCACATGGTCGCTGACCGTCAGAGTGGCAATGCCCTCCTTGTGGGTCTGAGGGCTCTCAGGCTGGATGGAGATGGGTACTCTCTGCTCTTTCCCTATCAGCAGACTGCCTAGGCCCCGGGTACATGGGTCCTGGGAAGCCCCAGATGACCTCAGGAAAACCCAGACAGCGAGGAGTTCAGACGACAGCCGCTTCAGCGGTGGAGCCCCCGCTTGCCCCTCACCTTGTCTATGAAGGAGGCGAACTTGTTGTTGAGGGTCTTGATCTGCTCCTTCTCCTCCTTTCGAACGCGCTGGAGAGATGGGTCAATTTCCAGGTGCAGGGGGGTAAGGAGACTCTGGTTGACCGTCACTTCATGGATGCCTCCAGCTCCTGGGGCCACCCCACCTCCAAATCCATACCCACCATAGGCTCCCCCAGATCTGTACCCTAGCCCACAGGCAGCACCTCCAAAGCTGGCCTGACCGGAGCGGTAGCCCCCACTGATGGAGATTCTCTTGTTACCCCCAAAACTGTGTAGACTTCTTGTCCCAAAACCACCCCCAAAGCTGCCTCCAAAACTCTTCCCGCTCTGAGACATGGAGACAGAGCTGAAACTGGGCCGACAGCCAGACATTAGGCTGGCTGAGGAGGCACTGAAGTTCCGTGTGCCCCCAGATTTGATGGTCACAGAGGAACGCTGGGTCATGGTGGAAGTTGGTGTCAAAGAGCAGCAAAGGCAGAAGCCACGAGTCTTTAGATTCTGGCTCGCCTGGACTCACCTTGAGTTTTATCCCTTTCAAGAGCTGGGCTTGGCCAGAGCAGATCAAAGACCCCTCTGTTGCGTTCACCGCAATGGCATGTCTGGCCACAGTCCATCTTCCTGCCCGCTAATCACCGTGGGGAACTCCCTTCCCTGGGCAGGAGCGGGCCTGGGGAGTCCAGCCTGAGGCAAGCCTGGCCTCAGCGCTCCCCGCCTACCAAGGTTCTCAGTCACACTCTGGACACCCCTCATCCCCCCACCTGCAGCTTTCTCCTCCATGCCCAGCTGCCAGACTCTGGACCCCAAACTGTGCTCAAGCCACCATTGTGGAGTCGACGCCACGCTTTGTGGCAGGCCTACCATAAATGTTATTACAGTGTATTTTTGTACCTTTGAGAAAATGGAAGGTAAGTCGCTGCCAACAGTCTTGGGCTGTGTCGTGAGCTGAACTCCACCTTCCACCTTTCAACATGGCTGTTCTCGCCCTTGGTTTCTACCTGCAGCCTTTGGCACACAAGCCACACAGCTAGGGAATGCTGGGACAAGACTAGAACCCATGCTGGTTGGGCTACATGCCCAGAATCCCTGAACTTCTCAAAGCTAGGGAAAATGGGGTGTCGTGTCCTTCCTAAAGGTCAGAGGTCACCCCAAATCCCTGCCCTCAGCTGCTGTCTTCCATGGTCTTAGAGAATTTAACAATTGTCTCAGAGTCTTTTCGCTCTATCTGAAATCTTTACCCTCTTAACCATTCTAGATGGTGGTTCCTTATTTTATATTCCTCTCTCCTGACTCCTGTGTCATTGAACTCCTTCCCTAGCATAAATGGTTTCCACAGCTCTGGTTGGCAGCTTCTATCAGTTCTGCAATGAATCCTAAGGGTTGAGCCCACCATGTCTAAACAAACGTGAGCCCCACTCAGGACTAGTCCCATCATCCCCCATAGTCTTGAGAGGAGGGGACCAGGAGACTGTAGCCTCAGGAATGTGCAGCCGCTTCCTGGGCGTCTTCCCGCTGTCTGCGATTACAGGCTCATTGGCCTGGCCTCGGGGCTGACTTCTAACTCCTCTCCTGCCCTGTCATTTCGCTGCTCAGGGCTGCGAGTTTGAAGCTGTCGGGGAACAATCGGCTCCTTTGCTGGCCAGTGCCTTGACCACCCATCCTACGTCAGTGCTGTCCGAAGAACACAGGCTGATGTGGGGAGGGGCTGGCCTCGCCCCAATGACATACAGGAGGAGAAGGATGGGCAAGGCTTCTGCCCAGGGGTTGGGACTTCCCAAACAAGCATCCCAGAGAAAAGTGAGAGGAAGGCTGCTGGCTGCTGTCATCCCCATACTCCCCCTCAGCTTCTCAGGAAGCTGTTGTGTTCTGAGTACGGCTTGTGTGGAACCCTAGCTGGGGGTCAGAATTGCCCTGAGCTCATCACCACTGCACACAGAGGGCCGAGCCAAACACGTGACACATGCATTTAATAGGCATCCGGGAGGAGACAGAGGAACACTGGCTCTCGCTGGCAGTTCCAAGCAGCCAGAGAAGGGCAAGACAGCCTGGTGGTGAGGTGGCCAACACAGACCCCCATCGCTCGGCTGGAGGAAAGGGACAGGTGACGCTGAAGGGGCACTTGCAGATTCACTGATTGTGAACTTTGGAAGAGAGTGGGCTTTCGTTTTTTTGTGTCTGGCACAAAGAAGTACCAGGAGCAGCCTGGGGACTGTCAGGAGGTTGTCATAGGCCAGGGGATGGGTTTAGCCAGGAGGCCGGGATCCCTGGCAGCACAGGCGGCCTCTGTGAAGAGGATATGGGAGAAGGGCCCAGGCATCCAGTTAGGAGTGTGTGGAGGCTTCATGGTAGCGGCAAGGGAAACCGCAGGCAGGCTGCCTTAGTGCTTGTAACTTTTCCTGCTGGATGATGTGGTGGAAATGAACTTGACACTGGAGCCACTGCCCACTGGGCCCCGGCAGCTACTGGTGGTGAAACCAGAGCCTCCCAGACCTGTACCCAGGCTGTGCCCACCGCTGGTGGTGAAGGAGTAACCACTGTTCCCACCAAGACTCAGGCTTCCACCTCCAAAATTACTGCCAGCACCGTAGCCACTGGAAACTGTTGAAGTGACCACAGCTGTGGAGAAGAGAGGACAGAATCAGAATTGCAGGCAGGAGAGAAGGCACTGATGTCAGAGCCTGTGCTCTGGAGAGTCTGTGGCCGAGATGGGTGGTCTCACAGACATCCCCTGCTTGCTCTGTGAGATGCTGCCTTAGACCTCCATCTCTGCTGGTCTGAGCTATCTTCTTTCTCCAGACTACTGCACAGCGCTTCTCTGTAGGCATCTCCAGGAAGGCGCTCCCCTCTCCCCTCTGCTCCACCACCACTATTGCTGTCTTTGGATTTGACTCTGGCATCTTCTTCCTTCTGGAAGCTCATAGGAATACACATCTCCCTCCCCTGGTGTCCCTCTGGTGTGGCACTCTAAACACAGATGGTGGCTGTCCTGTAAAGCCCAGGGCTTTCCTGCCGCAATGCTCTGTAGAGCCGAGACCAGCAGCCGGCTCTCTGGACTTCTCAGAGGCGGCAGGACTGCCTCACTGTCCTGGTTTGGCCCTCGTGTAAAGGGTTCTCTCCAAAGGACCCAGGCAAAACTCCTGTCCACGTCAGGTGCTCATCTCCGAGCTCTTGAAACTAGACTTGTAGCCCCATGGAATTCTGGGAGGTGGGAGATATGGCTGGGGCTTTTGAGCTTCCTGCAGGACAATTTCAGGAACCACCCCACCTGGGCAGTGGTTTGCACTCTCCCTCCAGAGGGAAGAATGGTGAGCCCCAAGACTCTTATCTACCTTGGGAACTAGAGGCAGGAGGATCAGGAATTTGAGGCCAGTTTACGTTCCATAAAGTTTGTCTCAGAAAACAAGAATTCCCTCTAGTGCTGTCCCAGACTCACACAGGTGACTCAGGTTAAACTCAATGGGAGACACAAAGCACAAAGATGTGCGGTGTCGGGGAGTTGGCGGGTATGAGGACCCCTAAGACAGGGTGGGGATATGTGACCATGGTCAGAACACACCAAGGCCCCAGGTCCAACTCCCAATACTACAGTAAATAAGTAAATAACATAAGCTCCCCTAATCCACTATGATTTTGTCTTCAACTTGAGCCCTCTGACTGTCTCAAAGTGAACGCTGCCTGAAGGTTCTCGCAGCTGCCTTGTGTGGGCCCCTGCTGACCACATGAGCCCCGAGCCCCAGGTGTGTACTCACAGATGTTCACTGGGGAAACTCCCTCTCCGCTCAACCTGGTTGGGAGGAGAGGAGGAAAGGTTACGTACGCACCGTCCAGGTGTCACCTGGCAGGTATTTTCAATACACATTTTGTGACTGTTTTAAGTGCTCCAAAACCCCTTTATTATTATTATTGCAGAAGTCATGCCAGTTAAAACTCTAAAAACACACGAAGTACTAAAAATAGTAACGGAGCCCCAGGTGTGGAGGTGTGGCACCCACAACCTCAGAGGCACAGCTTGGTGTTAAACTATGCCCACCCATCCCTTCCTTCCTCACCACCCCGAGGAAGTGAAAACCAATCAGATTAGAGTCCATCAAAAAGGCAGGATGGCCCCTATAACCAGAGTTTCCTCTCAGTAAGGGAGTCTTGGCATGCTATTACAGGTGCAGAGAGGCATTCAAAGTCGTCACAATCGGGCTATCACTGTCTCAGCAACCGGCATCTGTTCCTAAACTCGCTCAAGCCAATATTAGCATTTATTGAGAGTCTGTCACACTCACAGGTGCCATTAGCGTCTCCCAACGGCCCCATTAGGTAGGTGTTAGTACATCTGTTTTACAGTGAGAGACTGAAGATCAGAGAGGCTACTTGCTCATGGTCGCAAGGTTTGAAACAGGGTACATCTGCCTCCAAAGTCCATCCCTTTGACCACTAAATTGAAGGAGAGCAAGGCTTTTATTTTTTAATTAAAGTAAAATGTTTTTAGGGGTGTAGCGAGACGGCCTGTGGCTAAGAGCTCTTGTTCTTACGGAGGGCCCAGGTTACCATGACCCACATGGTAGCTCACAATCATTTGTAACTCCAGCTCCAGGGAGATCTGGTACCAGGCATGCTCTCAGTACACAAGCAGGCGAAATACCCACACAATTAAACAAACAAATAAATCTTTAAATGACTTTTTTTTAAAAAATTATATGTCTTTTCCTTTAACAGAAAGTGGTTGCTTAGACCTGCTCAGGCCTTGCAGTTCTATGGGTGCACGGCACTTGGGGTGGCTTAGCAGCCTGAAAAGAGATTGCACCCTCACTGCCGCAGCTCAGGCTGCCGGGTAAGCTCTGTTTGCTCTGAGAACTGACCTGCACTCCTCGCCCTCCAGCAGCTTCCTGTAGGTGGCGATCTCCACATCCAGGGCCAGCTTGACATTCATGAGCTCCTGGTACTCGCGCAGCAGCCGGGCCATGTCCTGCTTGGCCTTCTGCAGGGCATCTTCAAGGTCCACCAGCTTGACCCGAGCATCCTTGAGGGCTAGCTCTCCACGTTGCTCAGCGTCAGAGATAGCAGTTTGCAGACTAGCGCACTAAAAAGAAAGGAGGTGCCATGATCCATGAGAAGAGTCTTCGGAGGTGGTGGGGTAACACAGAAGAAATGGGAACTCTTGCACTGATTGAATTGTACCTGCTTCTTGACACCATCGATCTCTGATCTCAGCCTCTGGATCATCCGATTCATTTCCGCGATCTCTTGCTTGGTGTTGCGCAGGTCGTCACCATGCCGGCCAGCTGTCAACTGCAGCTCTTCATACTGGTAAGAGCAGACACCGGCAGTCTAGTCAAACAAACACCTGTGTGCCAAGCAGGCCACTCGCCCCTTTCCCTTATTCATCTTTCCAGGTGGTTTTTCTTGAGCTCCCTGGGGAGGCAGCAGATTCTGGGAGTGGCATGCAAAAACAAGCTGACCCCAGTTTCCAGGCGCTTATACTATTGCTCAATTTGTATCCAAAAGATAAGTAGCCAGTAGTAAATGAACAGGGTCCTTCAGAGTGCCCCAAAGGAGTTCGACTTAGGTTTGAAGGTGTGTGTAGTGTGGTGGGAGGGCAGAAGGGAAGTGTCTGCAGGGGAGACGCAGTCATCTGCAGGATGAGAAGAGGGACCTAGGTAGACAGCTTAGAGAGAGACCATTCTAGACTGGAAAAAGGGACTTAGGAGATTATCCTGTGGCAGGGTGAATGATATCAGCATCGACTATGCCCATGAACTTAGGTAACCTTGCAGACAGCAGTGTGGGGACCAGGGAGGAAGGTCAGGAAACTACACGGTGCAGAGGCTACAGGAGGCCCAGGGCCGGCCCAGCAGAAACCCTGGTCTTGGTGCTCCTGTTAGATGAGTCTGGGACGTGCTTGTTTAGGAGGGATTACTTTTCCCTGCCTCCTCCTGCCCACTCCAGACGAGTGCCTGTCTGAGTCAAGATCCATTTTGTCTGGAAAGTGCTGCACAGCTAAGCTTCTCCTGCTGCCAGATACTCAGGACTAGAAGGGACAACAGCCGACAGGGAGAAGCCTCCAATTTCACCTCCAGTTGAGGTTAAGTGCTCCCTATCTTCTGCCCACTGCCAAGCAGCTGCAGCGTGGACCCTGGCATCAGACAACCTGCCTGCTTCACTACCTACCAGAAGGGACTAGTACAGTGCTCAGGGCAGGACGGGGTGGAGGAGTGTCACAGAGTGGCCAGCAGATGCCCCTGTGAGGGACCTGGGTTTGGCAAGGGGATTCCTCGGGGTCTGCTACAGTGTTTAGGACAAAGCTGTTCACCCAGGCTTTCAGCTGTAGCTCTCTAAGGTCAGCCTCCCTCCTGCAATACGAATCTCCTGCTCATATTCCTGTCCTTGCCTTCTAGCCTCTCATTTGGCCTTAAAATCCCTCTTGTTCTTTCACCGTTGCTTAGCCTTCCTGCTTGGCTGCTGCACTAAAGACCCAGACCTTGCTGGAAGTGCTCTGGTGATGCTCTTTCCCTTCCGTGGTGTCCACCCACTTTCTGGCCTTCTCTACTTTGGGCTTCTCTATATTTATATCTATATTTATATCTAAAGCCCTACTGGCAGAGTGGAGGACCTCAGAGCTTATAGGAAGAATTCATGGGCCCTTTAGGACTATTATACATAATTCTTGGTCATTTTGGAATCTCACCCAGCACCAACTGGGCACACACACTTAGCATGTGGTTAGACGTCTGTAAGTATTTTAAGCTATGTTTTCCCAGTACCAGGGCTGCACTTGCGCAGTGAAGAAGTGAGAGAGGCGATGAGGTACAGCCTCAGAACACTCACCTGAGCGTTCTCACCTCACCTTGGTCTGGTACCAGGACTCAGCCTCTGCCCGGCTGCGGTTGGCAATGTCCTCATACTGGGCCTTCACTTCGGCGATAATGCTGTCCAGGTCCAGGCTGCGGTTATTGTCCATGGAGAGAACCACGGAGGTATCGCTCACCTGGTTCTGCATCTGAGACAGCTCCTGCAGGGCATCAACTCAGTGTCACCACGGGCAAGAGGAAGGGATCTTGAGGTGACTAACTGCTTAGGCTAGGAATCCCTTCTCTGGCATCCCTGGCAGAAATCCTTCCCTCCCCAGACTCCTAGTTGGGCCATCATGCCAGGGATCCGAGTCCTGGCCCTGGAAGTTTCTAGACAACTGATCAGTGTGGTATAACCATTCTCTCTGCATTGCCTCTCAAGACGTCCACTAATGCTTTCCACTTATGCATTCAGTGGGCCCCCAGCTTCACAGAGGCATTCTGCAGGGTCAGGTGATACTGCAACCACACCTCTGCACGGTGATTACATCACTTCCTTCCTCTGTCTCTCCATAGACCCAGGTATCTGCCTTCCGCATGGCAGAGATCCAAATGAGGTGTCTCCAGAGCCCTAGAAACCATCTGGCCAGTAGAGGGAAGGGAGCAGCTGCAGAGCCTGGAACCTGGGAACAAGCATCTCTCCTAGCTAGGGCTGTCCTGCCATTTGTAGGGAGAGAGGCCTCAGAGTTGAAACTGTTTCAGGTGCCAGAGTTCCCAGCATTCCTCTCTGGCACCATGCTGACTGGACTTACTAAGTGAATAACACCTGAAGCTTCATTTCCTCTCTAGGCTCCGGTACCAGGAGCAACAGAAACTTGCAGACACTTACCGCCTCATAGATCATCCGGTAGAAGTTGATCTGGTCGGTCAGAGAGTCAACCTTAGCCTCCAGCTCCACCTTGTTCATGTAGGCTCCATCCACATCCTGAAATGACCCCAGATCCAAACAGCAAGTCAAAAGAAGCTGAGCAGAATCGAGCCTGGATTTCAGGGGTTGGGATAGACGTTCACTGAGACTTGGGCTTAAGTTTCCTGGGCTAACAGAGACCTGAGCAGATGTAGTGGGGGCCTTCAATACAGGGGTGTATTCTGGGAGGTTTACACTCATCACATAATCTCACCGATGTGATATTTCTTGGGTGAGCCCAGGACTAGACTCTCTCATACCCCAAGACTTAATGCTAAATCTTATCTCTTTTTGCATTCTCCACCCTCCTCCTCCTTTTAGAAGTTCCTTCTCTCCACTGCTCAGTGCTGGATCTTGACCATAAGGGAATGCTGGATAAGCCCTGATCCTGCTCTGGATGCCCAGTCCTTCTGTCTTTGAGGTATGGTTTCGCCATGTAGCCCAGGCTGGCTTCAGACACAGCTCCTGTTCCTGTCTCCTGAGTGCCGGGAGGACAGGCTCAGACCTCAGTTTGAGGTCCCTACTCACCTTCTTCAGGCCCACAAACTCATTCTCAGCAGCGGTGCGCTTGTTAATTTCATCTTCATACCTGCACGGATGAGGTGAGGGCAAAGGGGTGTGAGATTGAGCAAGGTTTAACTTCTGCTGCCTTGGCAAGACTTAAAGACCTCCCTTCCTCTCCAGCTCTTCAGAGCCCTGCACATGACTGTGGATGATTCATTAACCCCTACTTCTTCCTCTATAAAAGGTAGACATTTCTTCTGCCAGTAAAAAGAAACCTTTATAAGATTAGAAGGTGAGCATAGACTTATGAGAATGGAATCATGAGCTTAGGCAATTCCGCTTCTTTGTGGACACATAGTCCTAATCACCAAAAATATATGCTGCCTCAGTAGTGCCCACCGAGCCTGCAAAGAAAACTTTATTTGTTCAGGACAGTCTTTCAGGAACATTTTGAAATTTTTTCACTGGGTGTTGTGATCAAGCTAGCTAACGGACTTGCTAGGACCACACTTTTGCACTGTAGCCCAGACAATAAAGTGTTCACCTCCACAAGGAAGATCAGAACCCCTCCTTCTGCCTTGCTACTTTCCTTCACTGGCACTCCTGCCGTTTGGGAAATTCAAGCCATCTCAGTCCCCAGGCTCACATCCCATGGAGACAAGCAGGCGGCAGGCTGCAGGTGAAGCAACACTGTTGACCAGAATGAGCGACCGTGTTTGTTTTGTCGGATGATGCTGGTGTTCATTTCGGGCACGTAGACAGAAGAGAACAGGCCCTGTGTGTTTGTTAGCAGCGAGGCAGAGACTGAGGTCCCTTGCTATCCTGCATGTACCATCTTTGTCGTGTGCACTCTGGGTTGCACACCCAAGCCTCCCAGCTCAGGTGGCACTCACTCCTTTGCACTTCTCTGGACCTCGGAGAAGCAGCCCCGGGGATGGTTGTGTGGAGTCGGGAGCCCGTCTCCCATTCACCTGACTTTGAAGTCTTCGACGACCTCCTGCATGCTTCTCAGTTCAGCATCCAGCCTGCCCCTTTCGGCAGTGACGCCATCCAGCTGCCGGCGGAGGTCATTGAGATAGGCGTCGAAGAAGGGCTCCAGGTTCTGTCTGACAGCCCTGGAGCCCTGGTCCTGCAGGAGGTTCCACTTGGTCTCCAGGACCTTGTTCTGTTGTTCCAGGAAGCGCACCTACAGAGGAACAGAGAGAACGAGCCTCACATAAGAAGCTAGGGAGGCAGAACTGTGTGCTCTTGCTAACAGTGGAGGCGAGTCCAAGGGGCTTTTACCCCATGCTCAGCGAGCAGTTACACAATTGACAATTTCACTCCCAAATGAGAACGTCCATGGAGGCATCCCAAGGACTCTAAGATTTCAATGGACTGGACATGGGGGAGAACATAACCTCTATGGTGGGAGTCATGGAGTCTGGGTTGAGTTTCTCAATGCCACTTCTTTGAGTCAGGGTAGCTGGCACAATGAGAGCCCTCTTTCTGGAAGAGGACTCCCAGAGAGGACTGGGTAGGGTGGGGCATCTCTACAGGGTCCTGTGGGCCCCTGGCCTGGCTTGAAAATGTCTCTGTCCATGGCCTGGGGCTGGTACTGGTTGGTGAATGTTCTCCCGGGGAACCTGCATTGCTGCTCTCTCCGGAGCAGAGCTTTCCCATCTAACCACTCCTGCACCGGGAATGTGAGGGGTGGGCACAGGTCCTACCTTGTCGATGAAGGAGGCAAACTTGTTGTTGAGGGTCTTGATCTGTTCCCGCTCCTCTTTCCGCACCCGCTGGATTGTGGGGTCGATTTGCAGGTTGAGAGGAGTCAGGAGGCTCTGGTTGACGGTGACTCCTTGAATGCCTCCAGAGGGACAGACAGGGAAGCCAAGGCCACCGAAGCCCCCTCCAATGCCACCACCATAACCAAAGCCACTGCTGAGCCCAAACCCACTGCTAGCCCTGCCACCAAAGCCACTCCGGAAGCCACTACCAGCACACCCACCAATGGAGACCCGCTTGGTCCCCCCGAGGTTGTAGAGGCTGCGGCTTCCAAAGCCAGCACCAGCACCACTGATCCTGCCCAGTCCCCCACTGTTTCCTGAGGAGCGGGCAACAGAGACAGAGCTGAAGCGGGAGCGGCCAGCAGTTGGGGTGGTGGCAGAGGCTGTGCTGAAGCCCCTGCGGCTGCCACTGGAGTGGAAGGTGATGGTGGACAGCCGAGACATGGCGGGTGAAGCAGGCAGGTGGCAGGAGCTCTCGAGGTAGATGCTTGAAGGGGATGGAGCAGCCAGGCAGCTAAGGAAGTTCAAGCCCTTGGGTTTTTATAGGCCCCCCACAAAGGGCGGGGTGTGATTAATGAAGGGGGCCATGCTGATGGCATCCCCTAGGCATCTGCCAACCCTGAGCTCACCCTGAGTACCCCTGCAGGAAATGGCATTAAAAAAAAAGGACTGGTTGGGTTGCTGCCTCCCCTCCCCCATGTGGAAACTTCTTTCTAGTTGTAACTTGATCATCAGACCGGTGAGAAGCGACTTAATTGCTTTCAGTCATGTCCTAATCATGCATCTCCTAATGGACTCAAAAACACTGCCTCATTTCTGAACCGCTTTCTTAGGCCTGGGACCAACTCCCTTCAGTCCAAACATCTTGTGTCAACACAGCGACAGCAACAGTGTTTCCTATTCTGTCGGAGCATTTCCCTAGCAGCTGCCGGCTGCCTTCCCAACCCCATCAGGCTGCTCCTTCAGGCGGGCATTCATCTTCCACAGCCTTCCACACAGCGTTGACTACCCTTTAATTTTGCTCAAAACCATCTGTTTGTTGGATATCATATGCAACTTCCTGGATCATGTATGTTGGTATGCACTTGTGTGTATGTCATGTTTATGCCAATATTTGACACTCAAGGTCATTTACAATTCTGTCTTCTGCGGACAGAGTGGGAGCAGAAAAACTTGGGTTTGAATCCTCACCCCTCCAGTGCCCAGCCATGGGACCTTGGGCTCATCATAAAACTTTCTGAACTTCAGGGTGTGTCTGCAAAATGGAGTTTATGGAGAGTCTTCTTCATGTATGAAAACCCGTTCACAGTGCCTCTAGTGTGAGTGCAGGCTACATGTCCACTGTGCCTCCTGCGGAGAGGACCGGCACTCATGAAGAGCTGGCCACATGCCTGTCCTAGGATGGATCCTGTGAGGATCCAGAAGTAACACAGCACACTTTCTTGATCCTTAGCAATAAGTTCATGGTCCTGCTGGGGAGACAAAACTGAAGCATGGTGGGTAACTGAACAAGACGATACACAATCAAGCTATCTTTGAGGCTGTCTTCTTCCAGAAGTTTTCCAGGCTGTGCCTTCCTGAAGACCTGTATCCCCAAAGCTACACACACTGGAGAAACCCTCCTCTCGTTCATCTCGTCTTACAAATTGAATTATGATTATCATTATTATTATTATTATTATTATTATTATTATTATTGTTACTATTATTTGTGTGTGTGTGTGGGGGGGGAGACTGTTGACACCCACACATGACGCAGCATACATGTGGAGGTCAGAAGACAATTTTTATGAGTTGAATCTCTCCTTCTGTGATAGGATCCGGGTGAACCTCAGGTCAGGTCATCAGGCTTGTACAGACAGAACTCTGTCACAGAGCCATGCTCTTGGCTCCTCATTCTCTTCTTCACTGTGTCTTACATTCTGCATCAGAGCGTGGATTGACAGGGGTTTCCAGTGTACCTTGACCTCTTCCTCCCCGCCCCCCACCCGCCCCATCCCTCTCCCTGTGTTTACTGTGAGCTGTTTGGCGGATGGTCAGGTTCTCTTTGATCTTGCTGTGGTTTGGAAGGGTGGGTGAGTAGGAAACAATAGCCAGGTGTTCAGACCCCATATGTGGATAAGGAAACAAGACTCAGAATAGTTAATCGAGACAGGCTGATACCATCTGGTAGGTGGGAAATGGAGCCAGGTGTCATGGTCCAGGCACCTTTGAGAGGCCCACAGTGTCTGGCTGATGTTCTCACCTGCCTGGAATGGGAGCCATCTTTTACCTGGGGCTCTGAGGAAGAGCTGAGCCTGTCTTGTTGGGGTTGAGACTCCTTATTTCCACGGGAGCCCATGAATCACAGCTTTTGTTGACACGGGCCAAGCAGAGCTCAGTTCTTTGCTTGGTTGCCAGTGTACCTAGGTCCTAGTTAGGTGGGTGCATGCTCGCCTTTGCCCGTAGAAGTAACAAGCATCTCTGTGTTCTTTGCTCCTCTTTGCGCCATCATCTGTCTCCCAGAGGAAGGGACCTGTTTGTTCCTGAGCACTTTGAGTGAAGTGCAGGGCCTTCTGACTGGGCCAGGCTCAGAGCACAGCATGGCGCTAGTCCGTGGGAGGGAATGCGAGCAGCCGCCTTGGCACTTCCCCTTGAGCTGCCTGTGGCCACGGGACGTTGGCACCTTCCTGGCCACTCCTTCCTTTCTCCCGGTCCTCCTCATGGTACCCCATTTTCTTTCACTGGTGCCTTCTTGTTTCCCATCCACAGCTACCTCTCACTTAAATAGATGGCAAGTGCCTAGGAGAGCGGCCTTGCCCACACACAGGTCATCAGCCTCTTTCTTTGTGTTCATTCTGCGGGTGTGAGACTTGGAGATCTTGTGTGTGCTAAGTAAGCTTGCCCTCTTTAAAATCTCAAAGCATACCGTCTCTTCGTTAAAGTAGTATTTTTATTTACTCTTTGAAAACTTCATTCCTACATACAATATCCACACTCCTCTCCTACCTACTCTTTTCTTTGAATGGAGAGCACATTTTATTCTGGAAACAGAGCTTAGTAACAATGGAATACCAGAAGTCGGCCGTTGTAATAGAAGAAAAGGGCAGCAGGAGTTTGTTTTAACATTTTCCCTGAAGCACGCACCTACCTACTCTTAAAACCTTCCTTCTTTGTTTTCTACCAAGAAGGTTTCTTTTGGTAATCAATTAGTTGATTTATTTATTTATTGGTGTGTGTATATGTGGCTAGCATATACACTCACAAGTGTGTGTGCAAGTGCATGTATGTGTGCATATGTGCATGTATGTGTGTGCAAGTGCATGTATGTATGTGTATGTGCATATGTATGTGTGTATGTGCATATATGTGTGTGCAAGTGCATGCTGTGTGTGTATGTGCATATGTATGTGTGCATATGTGCATGTGGAGTTCACAGACCAACCTTGGATGCTGTTCCTTGGGAGCCAGCCACCTTATTTTTTCAGACAAGGTCTCTTACTAGAGCCTGGTGCTCACCGATTAGGTGATTAGGCAATTAGGTGAGGCTTGCTGACTGGCAAACTCCAGGTCCACCTTTCCTGACATCCTGCGATGGAATTATGAGTGTGAGCCTCCTTCTTGGTCTTTTTTATGTGGTCTCTGGGGATTAAGTTCAGGTCTTCATGCTTATATGACAGCATACTCTACGGACGGCACTGTCTCCCAGGCCCTCAACTTTCTAAGAAGCCTTCCCGGTAAGCCAGGCCCAGCTCTAACTCTCCCACCTGTCCCGTGGAATGCGTGTTCTTCCATATGTTGAGTTTTAGTGGTCTAGGTGTCCGTGTGTCTCTGGAGGGTGGATGCTCCTCCCCAGACACATCTCCTCAGATCTCAGAGAGAATGGCAGAGCAAGAGTTCATCTGACAGGAGGAGATCTACAGGCTCCTTTCTGCTCCCTGACCATCTGGGATTCTCTGGGACCTTTCTTGTGGTCTGGGGGAGTGGTGGGCCTAAGGACACTGTGCGTTCTGGGATCCAGAGCTGAGACAGCTGGGCCCTGCGATTTCTCTCATGCCTGCCCCTTGAGCTTAGGGTGATTGCTCAGTGGAACTTGAGGTCCTTGGCAGAGTGTCGTTCCCGTCGACAGGCATTGGACTGGCAACTGGGAATGAACTTGGGAGGAGGACAGGAAGGCAAGGGGACAGGCCTACCAGGGGTGAGAGGCTGGGAGTACCTGAAAGTTTTGGCTTTCAATCAGGTCAGGGCCAAGGAGGAATATGGGTAAAATGCCATTGGACATAGGAGACTTCCTCCCCAGAGCAGGCCATTCTTGGGGAATCAGAGGACCCAGGCCATAACCACCTACCCCATTGCCTTTAGTCTCTTCAGCTCAGCAGCACCTATCCTGTGCTAACCGCTCAGCAGCACCTATCCTGTGCTAACCGCTCAGCAGCACCTGTCCTGTGCTAACCGCTCAGCAGCACCTGTCCTGTGCTAACCGCTCAGCAGCACCTGTCCTATGCTAACTTCTCACTGTTATAGTCATGGTAGGCAGAGTTTGAAGTAAAGAAGAAAGAACCCCTTTGTCCCTGGAGCTCTTACTGGAAGAGGAGGGGAGCAGAGGCAGTTTGACTGAGCCTCCCAGCTGGCATACTCTGCGGGGCTGAATTGAGAGAATGTAATTTCACTGGAAAAGTACATCCAGACTTGAACATTTTTCCTCACTTGACTATGCAGGAGGGTGACCACACTTCCTCCATAGTTGGTGTACTACGAGGCAGCACCAGCCTGCCTCAGGTCAGCCATGCTCATTGTTCTCTCACTGGTTCTGCCAGTTGACCTCAGCGTTCTGATGTGTCCCAATACGCGAGACATGCCTGTGTGTAGCTCCTCCACTCACTGTCCGCTCCTTCCCACAGACTTGTGTGATGGGCGGTGCAGAGTCCTCAAAATTCTCCCTGGAAGTTTTAGCAGCAAAATGGTACACTCTTTCCATCTAAGAAGCAAGATGCTCCTTCCCCCACGAACAAGCATATCAGACACATATCAGACACACCCGGAGAAGTTACCTGTGTGAAGTTCTATAGACACACACATCTTAACACTTACTGAACAACGGTCTACACGGGAATACGCTGGTGACAGGGCACAGGTGTGGAGAGGAATGAAACAAAGGAGCGGAAGTTTTGAGCCTGGAGAAGCTGTGTAGATGGGGAATCTTGGGGTCTCAGAGAAGACAAACCTGTAACAAACCATCCAGTAACAACACCAGCCTCTCAGCAGCTACCCTACTTACTTTCTTCTCTGTCTGCTCTCCCACATATGCCTAAGCCTCCCTTACCCTGTAGATCACAGAGGGACAAAGTCTGTCGTCTGGGACACACAGTTAGATCCCTTCCTGGGGGTAGGGTGTAGATGAGATGCCAGCATTTCACCAGGGTTTTTGACAAGTCAGAATCTAAAATGTATCTTGGCCATTCACTTCCAACCACTTCAGTGGATGTTTTTGTTCCCAGGATGAGGCTGTTTCGTCCACTTAGTCTTCTGGTTCCCATTGAGAGGCTGTGGGAAGGACGTGGTAAGGGAGGAAGGTGAAAGAAATGAAATGCTGCTCTGGCTCTTCCTTGGAGGTGGAAACCCGGAAGTCCCCGGAAAAAGCAAGGAGTGCATTCCCTAGAAACCTGGTGTGTTGTGCACCGGCACGGAGACACAGCCTGTGGGCACAGTCTGGGTAGGCTGGGCGATACTGATGTACTGAGGGACGCTGTTGACACAACTTCATTGGCTTGCAACTGGTGTGGAGGTGGCTGCTGAGCCTGGCGTGTGTGTCACAGCTGGGGAGGGAGATCTGAAGCAGTCACCTCATTCCCATGACCTTGCAGGTTCTGTTTTAGTATTTAGGAACTTGGAGGTCCTGGAAACTGATTGCCCCTTGCTTTCTAGTCCTCTCTGCTCCCAGTTACCATGGAGACACTCCAGATCTTGACCCTTCCAATAAACTTCATCCTTATTCATTTATTCTTTTAAGAAATAATGGAGGCCTTTGGGTACTGGGTACTGGGGTACAACAGGGAGGCACAGTCACCTCAGGGACCATAGTGGTAGGATGTCATTTTAGGGGCAGGCCAGGATGTGCAGGGGAGCTCGGAGATTCCTTGAAGAGCATCTTCTCCTTGAAAGCTCCATGATTTTTTATGAGTGAAGAGAGACCCAGGACTGCTGTCTTCTGTTCCTCAGCACAGCGCCCAGCTTCTGTGTTGCTAGCCTCTGTGCCCGGATGGAAAGTGCTTGTGTTCTGTAGTTCCTATTCTCTTGTGGCTTTCTGGGCTATGAGGAAGACGAAAGGGACATACAGAAAACAATAGTCTCATGCAACGGTGTTATAACATAAATAGAAAATGTAATATTTAGACAGTGAGTAGACTGGTCTGTTTATGAACAGGCCTTGAGGACTCCAAATGAGCCTTGCTCTTCCTGGTGGTCCCATATGTCACATTTTGGGCACACATAAGAGAAAGGCAGGAAGCACTGTTTGAGAGTAGGAGAAAGGTTTTGGGGGGTAGAGTTCAGCTAGCTGGGATTAAATAAAGACAGAACCACAGAGTTAACCCGCCCAAGATGCTGAGGATGGGACTGTGCTCATTTGTTGGATGCTTATCCACCCTCCCTTCTGCATCATACCTTTGTGGGCATTGCCTACCTGAGTGCCTCTGGGTTTGGGGCTGAGCTTTGTTCTCATGAAACACTCAGAATTGTGCTACAAATTGCTCTCCCCTTCAGATGGCACGATGCCCAGGTGAGCTGCTGGCACCAAATCAGCAACACTGATCCTGAAGGTAATGATAGCAATGGTGTTGGAGCACTTAGAGCCACTAAGCTGGGAATGATCGACTGAAGGCACCTGGAGAAGGGGAACCTCTGTTCTGCCTTTAGAGAGTACAAACTCAAAAGCCCAGATGCAGAGGGATAGGTTAGGCTGTGACTCAGCACTATAGCAGAATTAGTGTCTTTGAAGAGGAGCTTGATTGAAGGCCCTTTCAGTGAGTCAGCTTTCTTGATGTGCAATTGGTGTAAGTGATTGGCATATCACTCCAGGGTGTGAAGCAGACATGCCGCTGGACTCAGAGGGGAGGAAACAGTCTACATCTGAGCCTCTTGGACACTGGGCTCTTTCCTTCATGGAAAAAGGGGAAACAGCAGGTGACCTGTGGGCAAAGCTCCCGTGCTCTCTGTGTGATTCCCACCCATGCCTACTCTGGCTGTGCTCCCAGCAGACTAACAAGAGACGGATGTCCCTTAAAGGAAATAGCCGAGAGGGCCGCTCACTCACCCTGAGCACCACCTTATTAAGCAAGAGTTGGGCAACCTTGAGTGAGCTCAGAGACTCATGAAAAATGACGAATGGGTTGGGAAATAGCAGGTGTGAAGAAGGGGAAGGTAGTTGTGACAGGGTCCGATGTGTTGCTTTGCTGTTGCTATGGCAACCAATCAGGGACTCCATTAAGGAAGGATTCACTGAACTTTCAGTGGGCTTCTGTGTTCTAGCACTAACTGGGGAAAGACTCTTCAAGAGGTTGCCGAGATTTCTGGAATGACTAAGGAAATGTGACTCTGCAATGGATGGGAGTGGGCTTTCATTGTTCGTTTTATTTTTTGTTTGTTCCGCTTCTCATTTCTACAAGATAAACACCTGTGTTCTCTGTCCTGAAGACATTTTGAAAGTGTGGTATTTTCTATATGTCCCCTTGATGACGCAAGTATTCATTTTGCCTCTCTGAAGTTAAACTTGCCAATTGCACACACTTACACACTTTTTCCCACCCCCTTGCTGCTTGCTTTTGGACTCTGCAGTGTGGTGGCAGCAGTGGTGATGGTGTGTGTGTGTGTGTGTGTGTGTGTGTGTGTGTGTGTGTGTGTGAGTGCATGCATGCTGCATGTCTGTGTGTGTATGTCCATCATTCTGGATTTCATAGGTTAGAATTTTTCAAAGATAGGTACAAAAGTCAACTAAAGTCAACATTCAATGTGCTGATCTTAGTTTAGGCTGTTCTTCAATGTCCAGAATTTTGCTGTGCCACAGACAGCTGTGACTATGTCTAGAAGTGACCTCTGAACCACTAAACATTCATCCAGAGGTACAGAAAAGCAAATAATGAGGTTTTAAAGATTTTTAGAATCAAAATAATGTGGCAACAGGAGCCGGTGACAGACATGTTCTACTCCTCATCTCCAAAGAATGAAGAAGCCTCAGAGCAGGGGAACATGGTTCATAGGCATGAAAGGACTCTTGGAAAATGATGGACAGAAAAATAAAGCTTGGCTAGAGCCCAGAGCTGAGGAGGGAGAGAGCGGTAGTAGAGATGACCTGAGAAAAGCTCCCCCTCATTTTCCCCCAGTACAGGCTGGAATTACCAAGCTATAGAGTAAGCATTGCTTAGCCTTTGCCCTCAGTGTAGGTGTATCTGTCACCATCTGACATCATCACCCAGCATGGCCGTCTCAGGTGAGGAACCTGATCCCTAATTCCTCTCCTCTCTTAGTATTCTGGGACAGCTGTATCTCCACCAGAGGGCAAGCAAGGTATAGAAGGCTGTGGGGGAAAGGCACTGCCCAGGTCCTGCCCATGGTCAGAGCAGGAGGTAACATAGGAGTGTGGTGAGACCAAGCCTCCTGGGGGCGGCGGGGAGAGTTTCAGCACAGATTCGGCAGCAGCCAACCCCAACATCCTGCACTTCCTATGTGCTTTTTTTAAGCTTGGGTTTTCATTCTCATTTAACGGAGTTGAGCCCAAGACTAAGGCACAGAAATCAGTACTTTTTCCCATGGACCACCATGGATGTGAAAACAGCTGTATCTCCCAACACAGAAGCGATGCTAAACCTAGGGATGAACAACAGCATCGGCGGCAAACAGCCTGAGAGCGCTGTGAGTGAACACGGAGGATGGAGGTGTACATACAGCTCTGGCGCTACTGATGGTGCGATCAGAGCGCTCAACGGAACCAGGGAGAAACAGCAGTGATTTTGGCAAACCACAGAAGTGGTCAGGACAGGGAGGAGGCTCTTCTCTCGGAGCGGCAGAACACAAGAAACAAAGTAGCAGGCACCTTGTCTTCCACTCCTGAGAACTCACCACCATTCATATTGGCCTGTTTTCCCTCCGAACAACCTACCTACAAGCAGAGTAAACACAACATACTTTAAAACAACTCACAGTTACCAGAATGGGCCACCAGCTGGTGCTGCCATCTTCTTCCTGCAAGGTCAGGACACATAGAAAGTGTGTGTGTGTGTGTGTGTGTGTGTGTGTGTGTGTGTGCACGCACGCGCGTGCGTGAATGCATACATGCTTGTGTGCGAGTGTGTGCACACACATGCGCGTGTGTAATGTGTGTAAAAGCCCAGGAGAATCCTGTGCTGGTGTTTCACCAAGGCTGGATTATTAGTGAGGGAAGGTGTGCAGTGTTTTTATTGGTCTTTGTTGACAGCTTGGCTGGATTGGTAAGACATCCCTATCCCGTGCCTGTGCGTGCATTTCCAGAAAAGGGGCATGAGAGACAGTGATGGGGGTGGGGGGAGAGAAAGGTGAGACCTAGGGAGCCATGACCTCGGTCCCCCTGAACCCTCAGTGTGGTGACAGGTCACAGAGAATCCCTGGTAGAGTGGTCCCTGAAGGGAGCCATTGTGACCACAGCCAGTGCTCCCTCATGCTGTGCTCATGCCTGGCATCATGGAGGTGTCCTCAGGCTGGAGGAGGGGGAGCACTCACCTGCACTCCTCTCCTTCCAGCGGCTTCCTGTAGGTGGCGATCTCCACATCAAGGGCCAGCTTGACATTCATGAGCTCCTGGTACTCCTTCAGCAGCCTGGCCATGTCCTGCTTGGCCTTCTGCAGGGCATCCTCCAGCCCTTCCAGTTTGTTCTTCTCTAGACCTCGCAGGAAGCTGGGCACAGTAGCACTGCCATTGCAAATGTGTGCCGCTGTGCCCAGCTTCCCATGAATTCTGGGGATCCAAATTCAAATCCTCACACTTATGTGACACATTCGCTGTCCACTGTGCTGTCTCTCTAGTCCCCAAGGACTGCTTCTGATGATCACACGTGGATTCCGCACTTTCTTATACCATAGGATGCCCATACTGAGAGAGTGAAGGGCACTCAGAAGATTGCCAGGCCCGTGACTTCCTCCCTTCCAGATACCCTCTGCTCTCAGTTCCCCTGGAATCTCCATCGGTTCTGGCTCATTTCTTCCTTTCCAATCTGTTACTGTGTGAAACTGCAGTCCCTGGTTCTCCTGTCACCAAGTTCAGTCTTATGATCAAAGAGCTCTGAGCAATGGAATTGGCTCTGTTGGGTGGTGGGTCCATTGATTATGTTGGAGCTATCTTCCCTAAGTGTGGGGATCACATGGCTTCTTCTCCCCAGTGCTTCCCCCTCCACAGCAAGTATTTCCAAGTCAGTTGTAGATACATGCTTAGGACAAGCGGTATTTCCTTCCATATTGCCCTCAACATGTTGCTTCTTGACTTGTTTGATCTCAGATCTCATCTCCTGTGTAATGAGTGTTCTCAGAACTACCTTTCCTGATTCCACACAGGTTACCCCTGTGTCTGTTTTCTGTGAAGGCAAAGGTTCATGCTGTGGTCTACAAAAGAGACAATATGTGAATTTTAGCCGTGGATGTTTTCACTTCTGAATCTAGTATATATTAACCTATGGTTTCTCCTCAAGACTTAGGCAGTTTGGTGTTTTGGATTCTTAACATTCTTAATTAGGAGATAACAGTTTGGGTAACTCTTAGAACGTGTCTGTACTGTATCCACAAAGTCAGTGTTGAGAGATGATTAAAGTCAACCCTGGTCCTCTGTGTTTATTCCGGCTTCCAGTCAGTGTTTCTCTGTGTTTTCTGCGTGTGTGAACAAGTGGGTTTCTGATTCTGTGCCATCACTTGGGCTCTTTTCCTTCTGTTATTTGTCTTGTCCAACTCTCATGTGATAGTCTCTGCTTTAGCTTGTTATATTTTATTCTAATATCATAGAACCCTGTTTGTTGTCCAATCAGAGACAGAAAGGGAAGACAGGAGAGTGGAGGAGGGAGTATTTGGGGTTGAGGAAGGGGAAACTGTGATCAGGGCATATTATGTGAGAAAACAATCTATTTTCAGTAAAGGATAAAATATGCTGGGGAGAGAGAGAGAGAGAGAGAGAGAGAGAGAGAGAGAGAGAGAGAGACTTAAGCAAGAGTGTCTACATTCCTATCTGTTGCACTTTTCTTCCTGCCTCTGGGCTCTTGGTTGCTTAGAGCAGGGTCTAGCTCCCAAGTGCAAGTACAGTGCAATTTGCTGCTAGAGGACCCAAGCTTCTTTTCTGAGATTTCTAATTCCCAACGAAGTCAGAAGTCTTCCACAGTTCAGGGGATGGCTCACCCTGGTCTGATATCAGGACTCAGCTCTGCTTGAATCTCCTCTGAGTGACATCATCATTCCATCTTCATATTTACAAAAAGAAGGGCACAGCTGATTGATCCAGCAAGTGGATGACACTTTCCATAAATTACATACATATATATATACACAATATATATTCATATGTATGTGTGTGTATGTATGTATGTAGTATGTATGTATGTGTATATATGGTATATACGTGTCACTTCTTTCACAAAAGTGTGAAACACAACATTCACCATTACTGAATAGTTCACTTAAAAACAAACCAAAACTCTCTTAGAACCCCCATAACTCTTTCTGGTCTTCTGCTTTTTGTTTGTTTGTTTGTTTGTTTTGCCTTCTGGTAACAATTTGTGATTTATTTGCCAAGGATTAGTGCCCATTTCTCAACCCGGTCCCCAGTCATTCTGAGGTGAGGTTTAAGATGTGGCCATTCTTTTCCTTGGCTCACTCCTTTCTGTAGTCTCCCACCACATCCTGCAAGGTCCTCAGATGCAAGTCAAGCTGTCCTCTGTGTCCTCTGGGGAGTGCTGGTGCAGCCTGGGCAGCCGGCTGTTCTGTTCCTGCAACAGGGTCCATCTGATGTCTAGATTCTTGTTCTATTGCTCCGGGAACCACACCTGGAGGAGAGACACAGTGGTCCAGTATAGAACAGAGGCAGGGACACATCTGTGTACCAGGTTCTCAGTGGGTCTGGCTTCCATACTGCACAGCCTGGCACGTACTGAGGCGGAGAGAGCTGCCATTCAAACCCTTCTCTGTGCCATTCTAATCCTCTAGAGGAAGTCCGACAGACCATGATGGCGCTTCCACCCTCTAGGTCGCAACTCTCTAAACCGTGACCCTAGCCCTATCTGTAGCCATGTGACTGCATTTGGGGATTATGAGATATTTGGCAACAGTGAAAGAGTCTGTATGTACTGACTGAAAATTAACTCAAAATTCAAATACATCAAGAATCCTGGGTATTTCTGGCAGTACTCGGTGTTGAATTGTGCGGCTTCAATGCAGCCTTGGCTCTGGACACACGCACACACACAAACGTGCACAGCTTGTGCGTTTTTATCAGGAACACCACCACACAGCACCAAGCAGCCTGCCTGAAGCAGCCTAAGATTGCAGACTGCTGTTTGTTATGGATGTCAGTCTCTCACCATGACTACAAAGTTTTCTGCTCTTACGAAAATGGTTTAATTATGGACAACAGAGACTTGAGCCCTTTCCCACCACCATCCTTCAGCACTGGAGTATCAAATTAGTATATCTTTGGATTATATTGTGAGAGTGTCTGATTTTAAAAGTGGGTGTCTGAGTCACTGGCTTAAATTCTATTAAGAAAATTCAATTATATTTGAGATTAGGACAGAATCTCTAACAATTTCATAAAGTCCCTAAACATGCTTGTGTCATTTTATATATAAATAAACAGTCACGATTTCATTCATGTCAAAGTAAACAAGTACATTTGTCTCACTACACCAATTTGGTTTGTCTTTAATAAATGGTAAAACAATGTGTATGCCACAGAAATGGTTCAGCCTTCCCCCGTAACCAGACCGGTGAACACCCAACTGTCAGCATAGAGCCTTCAGCCAGTACCTGCTGGAAGCAGATGCAGATCGACAACCAAGCGCCAGGTCAAGCTCCGGGACTCCCATTGAAGAGAGCGAAGGGGGAACACATGAGTAAAATAGATTTCTTTATGACTTGATTTCAAATGTTTGACTTGTGTTATGTGTTTTATATATGTTTATACTCAGGGTCATGTAAAACTTTCTTGGGCAAAACATGATCACCATCAGGAAAAATTTAAGTCCTGGTTTTCTGTCTTCGTCTCGCTTTCTGATGCCAGCAGAGCCCCGTCCAGGTTTGGGGTCTCAGCTGCCCAACAGCTTTCCCTGAGAACAGCTGACACCTCCATCGGCTTCACAGTGAGCTTGACTGGAAGCACCCACAATGTGCACAGAGGCGCAGGGGCAGGGCTGCTTCCTGACACCCGCCGATGCCCTCTTCCAGGAACAAGCCGTGTGCTTTCCCAGGACGACTAATGAGCAAAGTGCCAGAGAAGCACAGGCAGGCGTGGCTTAGGCTTAAGCTGAACCCTGTTGCCAAAGAGGCTGCAGATGTGGAGGTGAAAAGCTGGGAGCTGTGAGGGTGGAAAGGGTCGGCTCTGAGAACAAATGACTGCCTCTGCGGGGGCCACATCTGGAGACAGACACTGCCGCCTTTGTCCCACTTCCTGACTCCAACTCTCTCCTTCCTTACTTTTTCCTCCTCCTCCTCTCTCTTCTAAAGAGTGTGTGCATGTGTGTGTGTGTGCATGCATGTGTGCGTGCATGTGTGTGTGCCTCTGTATGTGTGTGCATGCACACGCCCTAGAAGGCCAGAGGTTTCAGATTCCCTGGATCTTGAGCTACAGACAGTTGTGAGCTGCCCAATACATTAAGGTGTTAGGATTCAGACTTGGGGCCTCTGAAGGAGCAGTAAGTATTCCTACCCACTGCACCATCTCTCCAGCCCCACGCCAGCTCTTGCCAAGGCCAGCTGCAAGGTTGAGTTATATCCCAAGGAATCTCCAGGGTAGCCTCCTGGGCCCAGAGACAGCCTGCTCTCAGCAACTATTCCCTTCTCTGACCCTGCTGCTCCGCGCTCCACCTCTGGTCTGGGCCCCCATGCAGTGGAACCCTTGGATTTAGACACTGTGTCTGGAGTCCACAGCCTCTGTGCTGGGTCTCAGGAGACTAAGGTCGGGTGGACTGCAGTTCATCCTTCAGCACAAAGTCCTTGGGTTTCAGCGTGTCACTAAAAATCCTTCATTGTCACTTCTGGTCTGAATACTAGAGAAGAGGAGTGGCTAGCCTCCTTTGGAGGACAAGGAAATATCCAACCAGCCTTGCCACCGAGCACCCTTTCGGACCTCACATGTGTCTGTGCCATTGGCAAAGGACTCTTTCTTCTCCTGCGGTCCTCAGTGGGTGGAGGGATGGGGTACAATGTTTCCTCTCAATGGGCCTATAGCTAGTCAGGTTATATAGTGAAACCTTGTCGCAAAAACTAATTTAGAAGGAACACAAATTTTAAAATTTTGCAAGTGAGTTGGGTTTATGCCAACTTGAGATAATTGATATTTTCATGTACACCCTTGAATTCTCACCCTCTCCTTCTCTCTTTTCCGTCCATCTGTCCATCCATCCCTCCTCTCCTGCTCTCTTCTCTTCTTTCAGCACACCTCACTTTCTTGTGTGGTTGTTTTGTAAGTCTGCTTATAAAGTTAGTGCTGGTTAAAAATGCAGAAGCCACTCTGAGGAATCGTCTGAGCTGGTTTTTTTTTAAACCTTAATTTTGAATCAGTTTTAGATACAAAAAGATGAAGTCAGCACAGAGGGCGCTATGTAGTCAAAGCCAGCCTCCTTTCCATCAATAGACTTCACATTGACAAGCTCATTCATTACAGTTAATGAGTAAATATAAATATGCTCTCAAGGAGTCCCTATTTCATGGCCTTAGTGTTTGGCCTTTGTTGGATGCAGGGTTCTCTAGCACACTTCCGTCATCTCTTCTTTCCAAAGACAGCTTGTCAGGTTTTTGATGCTTTGATGGCCTTAATAGTTTTTGGGAGCAGTGGCCCTGTGTTCTATAGAATATTTGAATTGTTCTTTGAAATGGTGGTTTCAACAGTGGTTCTGAGATTCTTGGAGGAGACCCAGAGCTGAGGCTTCTTCTGATTATGTGGTGGTGTCAATAGGTCCCATCCCTATGGATAGAGCGCTGAGGCACCTGGGTAAGGCAGATCCCCAATGTTTCGCTGTAAAATGCCCCTTCACCTCCTTCCCATGCCGCACCTTTGGCAAGAAGTTCTTCATCACAGCCTACACCTGGGAGGAGCTGCACTCTGCCTAGCTGAGCAAGGAATACTTGCACAAACTGTCTGCAATGCCTTTATGTAAAAGTTCCTAATCCTGTGTCTGGTTTCTTTCGCTGTTTTGTGTGTGATTATGTAGGCTCATGAGCACTTCCTTTGTACTTTGGGTCATAATCTGAGATAGTTATTTATCTGACAAATGGCTTAAATCATTCAAATTGAGTCACTGGGGGCTCTGGTCACTGTGAGCGGGTTTTAGGACTGACTCGTTATTTCTTCCTTACTTTCTGTCATGGCCAGATGCACTCAGAGCCTTCCCCAAACCAGCCATTTCTCTGAGGGGCCTTTTCTCCTGGTTGTATCAGTTTGGGTTCTTTAGAAACACAGGGCCAGTAGAACAGCCATGCACGAAGACTTTCACTTTACCTAACTGTGTTGCCTAATTATGAAGCAAGAAAGGCTGAAGGTCAGATGCCTCTGCTTAGCCACGAAGACCCAGAACCCTAGTTTAAAGGCCTTGGGTAGGAAATCTCCCTCGTACTCACAGCAGGGTCAGCCCCTCTACTCACTCTACTCCAGCCTTCTGCTGATGGAATGAATGAAGGCCACCCACAGTGTGGGAGCCATGGGCTTTACTCAGCCTCCTCTCCAAATGTAAACCTCATCGTAAACATTCTCATGGAAACACCCAGAATAATATTCGATTAAGTATCTGGGCACTCTGTGGTCCCTTCACATTGACACGTGAGGCTCATAATGATATTAGGCCACAACATTAAGAATAAAGATCTAGACACTAGATACGTTCAATGATGCTAAAGTGTCACAGTCTCTAGACCCTGTCAGGTAACAGAACTATATATATATATATATGTATATATATATACACATATGGCATTCATTTATATATGTGATACTCATTTGTACATATAATGTTCATTAGTACGTATGGTGTTCATTTGTACATATGGTGTTCATTTGTACATATAATGTTCATTTGTACATGTGGTGTTCATGTGTACATATGGTACTCATTTGTACATGTGGTGCCCATTTGTACATATGGTGTTTGTACATGTGGCGTTCATTTGTACATATGGTACACATTTGCACATATGGTGTTTGTACATGTGGTACTCATTTGCACATAT